GTGGCCAAGATGGCAAAAGTTATGAATGAGGAAGAGCACACAAAGTTAGGAGAAGCTGCAGCAGTTTGCTTTTGTCTAAGCCTCCTGGGAAGGGGAAGATTTTGCCCCCTTGGGGAAAAGATGCTCAAATAAATAAGCTGCCTTGAGTCCCATTTTGGGAGAAAGGTGGGATATACATCCCTTAAATAAATAACTAAATAAATATGCTGTGGTCTGGTCAGCAATTCTTTCATCTCCTTTCCTGCTGAATGTAGATTCTTGGAGGCAAGATGCTAAGACACAGCGGTTGCGCTTGATGGAGAACCAGCCAAGCGCAATCTTATTCATGCAGTTTCATTTCATGAAAAGCAAGTTTACTATGACACAGAGATAAAGGGGAGAATTAGGAAACCCTTTAGATGTTTCTGGAGTGCATCTCCCAGCATTTTTCACCACTAGCTTGATGGGAGCTGCAGTCCAGCAACATTATAAAATGCCCTCCAACTGTCCCAATTTGGCAGGGACTGTCCCAGGTAATTCTTTGTCATCTTTTTTTCCAGTTGCTTTTAAAATTTCTGTGTTTTTTTCCCCTCCTCCTCCTCCCACCTTCTTATTTTGTCCTCAGCTGCGGTAGACTTGAGTTAAAAGTGCAAAAGTAGTTTGCGCTCAGTTTATTTAGCAAGGGAGAGCAAACAAGAAAGGGAAGGTTGCTCTTCCCAGTAAGCCAAAAATAAACTGCTGCAGCCTCTCCTATCTTCCACTTTCTCAAAAAATTATTTGCTAATTTTCAGCCTTAGTGGAAATGACCAAATTATTATCTTAGAGCTGGGGTAGGAATCATGACATACCATCCAACGTTTCATAGATGAAAACCAGGATACATGTAGCCAAGCAACATCAGTGTGGGCCAGATAGCAAAAAGTTATTAATAAGGAAGAACGCACAAAGTAGAAGAGGATGCAGCAGTTTGCTTTGCCTTAGCCTACTGGGAAGGACACAATTCTACCTCCTTTATACCTCTCCCCTCCACTGAGTTTACAGAATGCAAACTACTTTTGCAAACTCCCTTTGCAGTAAGCTGAGGGAGAAGACTGAATGTGGGAAGAGGAGAGAGCAATTGAGACATTGGACGTTATCACACACGGGTCTCAAAGCGGCAAGAAAGCTGTATGGAATCAATCCAGAACTATACTGGTATAGACCCCACAAGACGGAAATTGCTATCAGATGCAACTAGCATCATTCCGCAATGAACGAAAGCAGCATCATTGCGGTATCATTCTGGTCGCGCAAATGTAATTCCCCAGGAAACCGGCATTCAAAAGAACGGGGATGATGCCGCATTGGGACGGGGATGGGACGGGGTTCTCTGCGACGTCATGTGAACACACGGAGAAAAAAACCGCAATGGGACGGGGATGGGACGGGGTTCTGTCTGCTTTAGACCCCGTGTGATAACGTCCATTATAAAAGCAGCTGAAAATGTAGGACGACAGGATGAATCGGTACTGTCTCTGCTAAACTGGGACAGGTGGAGGGTATGAAATGAATACGTCTGATTTTGTACAGCGTGGATTGCTTCGAAATGTCCAGCTTCATCCCTCTTTGTGTTTCTCTTCTCCTCCAACCCCAGTCCAGCAGTTCCATATGCTCCGCCAGCGCATCCAGCAGCTGCAAGAGGAACGCAATTGGGAAGAGTTCAATTCTCGCCGGTTGGAACCAGGGACGATCCTACCAGAACTGGACAGCATCATGGGAGGCTTCATCCGTCAACCTCTGGACCACTTCAACAAGCAGAACCGCGTCACATTCAACCAGGTAAGGAAGAACAACAGGGAGAGGTTTGAGAGGTAAAACCAGAGTGTCCACATGTGCTTTTAGGCTACATGGAGGGATACGCTCTTAGGTCTTTTGGTGTTCACAGATTTCCTTTCCTTGCCCTGTGGGATGGGGAAGGTGGCCATTTTATTAGTTGGTTAGAGGATGAGCTAGCAGCGGCTAGAGAAAGGCAAATCCTTGCCCCCAAAAGCTCACCTCTGAAATGCTTGGAAATATTGGTGTTTTTTGGGGGCTGGGGGAGTTGGGCTACCCTAAACCCAGTAGTTATACTGGGTTGGGTATTCACAAAATTGTATTCTTGGCTGTATTGGCTAGGAGATTTCTCCTCTCCTCTCCTTTCCACCCATTGAGTTAATTGAATACAATCAGCTTTTGCATTTGGAGCTCAGTTTGCATGCACTGAAGAGGGAGGAAGAGAGAGAAAACAGGACATTTTAAAAGTTGAGCAACAGAGGACTGTCCTTGCCAAATCGGGACATTTGGAGGGTATGATAATGCTACCTGGTGGATTCTGGAAGCTGTAGACCCAGCCACACTCAGTAGGAAATTCTGGGAGATAAGCGTCCAAAAAAGTTACATTTTCAAGCTCTGCTTCAATTTGATAGCAAGTGGAAAGGGAGGGACATCAAAATAGCACAGAGGAGATGTGAAAGGTGAAAAGTGACATTGTGACCAAGACTGGCCCCTAGTAATCCCTGCGCAATGATCATTATTAGATTTTGTCATCTTGACCACCCTCTGATGTTGCTTGGCCACATGTCCCCCTTTGTATGGTCTGAAGCCTACAAAGTGGAAGAGGTTCATGTAATGAAATCCCTTTTCGTGTTCTCCCTTTTTGTGTTCTGAAGTGGGTGCTTGGCATCACTTTTGCCCTTACTTGTTTCTCTTGTCTCATTACAATCCACAGCAATACTGGGTTAATTCTGGATACTGGCGACCCGGTGGTCCCGTCTTCCTCTACATCGGGGGTGAGGGTGCCTTGTCTGAATTCACTATTGCAATGGGTAGGTACCACCCCTTAAAACACAATACCTAAAAATTGGGAACTGGGAAGGGAAGCTTTTCAGAAGAGTCATTTGAACCAGGACTCATCTGGGCTTGGGCATCCTATCTTGTTCCTGATGGGACATAGGAAGCGGATTTGTATGGCTCAGACATACATATACTGTATGTAAATATAGATTTCTACGCATGCACATGCCCATGGGCACGCACCGCCATTCAAGCCAATGGGGCTTGAATATTGGTGGTTTTCTGTTTTCCAGAACGGATCCCTCACGAAAAACGGAGGGGCGACTGTAA